ACAAACTTCAGTATGACCACGTACATACAGTAATAAGACTACAAACTTCAAAGCATATGAAATAGTGGAAATACGACTACAAACTTCAAAGCATATGAAATAGTGGAAATACAAGTGACCGTCGAACGTCAAACCTTGTGGATCCCCGGTACAGAAGAGGGGAAGGTATAACTTTGTGAATTACTTTTATAGATTTGGCACTCTGGCAAAGTTGGAGAATTGTCAACTTTATGTCGTCCTACGACAGCACCTCCCAGCTATTCAACCCATTTCAAATAAGTTCAATCTTTCCAAACCTGATAAATACCAGACAAAGACAACATCACCACTGGCCTACAACAAATCTAAGCATTTATGAAGACACATGCTTCCTATATGCCAACTCAGGACAGCTATAATGAACCATTAGATGTGAGGAAACAAATACGGAAGTTGCACTTTGCGGCATTCATGATCTATGGTACCACAATGAACAGAGCACAGTAGCTTTGCCAAAAGGACCTTAGAATATGAGTCTGTTAAAAGCGTTGTCTGTCCTTATGACTGGCATGGTCTGACAATATCAATAAGCAGATCATAAAAGGAATATGCAATATACACACATATATATATATATATATATTAAAAAAGAAAATTTTTTAATATTGAATATTGAATATTTGACAACAACATTTTTCAAAAGGTCTGTCTGTCAAATATTCAAGATCAACTAAAAGGACTGCAGATGTCCTTTCATACTCGGACAGAGTGCTTCACATCAAAACCCAATAAAATTTGATTATAGAGCAAGAAAAAACTGATAAAGATTAATCTGAATTAAGATTAACTTATGAGGATTTGATGAATATATTATTATCAAATTCAATTTAAATATTTTGATATGTAGTTAAAATCAAATAAAATTGAAAGATTAAACTTAATTATTTTGATCAATAATTTAGGTTAAATAAAATTGATCGAGTCTCGTCTTAACAAACCTACTAATAGATCAGAAAAAAAAAAATCGATTAATACAACTTTGCCTGATGCAGATTAATCATTTGTTCTACAAAACGAAAATAACAGACATGCATCCAAAGAACAAGTTGGAGTGATGATACCAGTTCTAAACCATATTTCCACATGAACTGTATCCTATTTGCAGCAATCACTTGCATTTAAGACCCCATGCTGCTAGTCTAAAGAGCGGTGACTTTCTAACGAGCCAAATGTGACTAGACCACGGTCAGAAATTCAAGTAAAAAGGCAAAGAAAGGAAAAAAGAAGAAGACTAGATTATAAAATAATGTACATTTGGTTAAATGATTCAGATTTAGGTCACCAGATATCCCCTGTAAGCTATTATGTCAGCCTGCAATAATAGGATCGTTCGAGTGCCTCATCTATTCCAATAAAAAAAGGTCAACAGGTTATAAACCCAAAACTCCAAGCCTATTAAATGATTGGATGAATTAATATGGAAACCACCATATCCCTTGGGCTAACTAACATATAAATGATATCAAAAGAAAACATGTTAGTTTCCTATGCAAAAAAACAAACAAACAAAAAAGTATACTTTTCTTTTTCTTCTCTCTTATAAATATGCACGACTACATCACTGGCCTCTGGTGGATGAAGAAGAAACGACTACAAACATGCCTCCAATTTGCAAGAGAAGAATCCCATTAAAATTTGTGCAATTTCAGATGGAAAACGATTTGAGAAAAAGAATATATAATGCTATCTCAAACATGACAACTCATCGTACCAATGTACTATAGTTATGGCTGGTTAAATTGCAAAGAGATTGATATTTAATACCTTTCCAGGAGACGTTCCAGATCGTGATAACTTATTCCACAATCCCATCTTTTCCGTTGGCTGTAGAATCTGAAACGAACATGTCAGATTTCCATCCACATTCATTATAGCACCGACATTATCAAATTTCCCGCAATAGTTTGGAGCAGAGAACAGTGTCACCAGCTGCTGTCTCGCAAAGAATTTATATCCATCTTGCACGACCTGCCCAAGTGACCAGTTCATCGTCAAGCAATGCGAAGCACCATAGCTCATGGAAAATGTGTCGAAACCACAAATGAACCGTCTAGATGACACCACCAACCTCATGGGCACGGCAGATGAGGTCTATATCAAGCTTCTGAAGAAACTGAGCTACCACGTCTGGCCCAAATGTGTAAGAGATACCTCTATCATTTTCTCCCCAGCCCTGGATGTTTTCGTCAGGGTCCGACCATAGCAGATCACAGAGGAGACCAGTGTCTGGAACATCCACCGGCCGTGCAATGTTTCGTATCTGGTTCAAGTTCTTCAATTGAGGAGATAGACCCCCATGCATGCAGAGTATCTTGTCCTCGATAAGTGCAGTAGCCGGGAGGCAGTTGAAACAATCAGTAAAGACTCTCCATAGATGAACATAGTATCTCCTCTTGCACTCATCATAAAAGCCATATATGCGACTAATGGAAGCACATTCATGGTTACCCCTGAGAAGGAAGAAGCTCTCTGGGTACTTGATCTTGTATGCCAGGAGCAGGCATATGGTTTCTATGCTCTGCTTGCCACGATCAACGTAGTCCCCAAGGAACAAATAATTTGCCTGTGGGGGGTATCCTCCACACTCGAAAAGCCGAAGAAGATCAGGATACTGACCATGAATATCTCCTACAGTGACAAAATTAAAGTTCCAAATTCTTAAGATAAGGATCCAGATTGGTATCACACAAACAAAATCCAGGCAGTAAATGATAGGTCTGAAGGATTTGTAGGGATAGCACCGGAGGAAGAGAACCTATGCTCCTCTGTCTAGACTACATGATATTACAAGAACCTGCTTTTACCAACAATCACCCCAGGAACACTGATTACTGGTCATTTTAGAAGGCACAAGATAAAACATGAGAGAAAAAAAATCTATCACGGAGAAGATCATTCATCACCTTTTTTTCATCAACCCATATGGATGATTGAATATGAATCCTCTACTAGGAATCTAGAATCAATCAACATGACTACACCATGTCAAAAGATTCATGAAGGTAGAGAACACTAATCCCAAACTAGATTTGAATATAAGTTGCCACCGCGAAAAGGTTGCTCCTCTGTACCATGAGTGACCATAATTCGAGCTGCGAAACATCAACTTTACTTGCAAAGGTAAGACTACATGAAGCCGCATGATGTGGAATGTTGTATACCATACAGCCATTGCTGCTAAGCCGATGATGATATATTCGAAAATGCCAACTAAGTTGCTAGAATAAAGCAAATCAAGCAATGGTATTGACAAAACAACCCATTAGAATCTTGTACAGCTGATGAGTAATAGCTTGAAGAACATGCAATTCTGTGATGTCAGCATCAACTTTTACCCTAATTTAGGCAAGAGGTAGCTAAACATACTATGTTGTCTTGAGAATGTTACTCTATGATCAAAGAATATAACTCCAAATACAAAACTGCAGTAAGAAAAAAACTAAGTCTTTTTGCCACTTTACCGCAGATCTTGATGGGGGCTTCGAGCTCCAGCAGATTGGGCTGTCTGAGAAAGATCTCCTTCGACGCGATGCACAGCTGCCGGATCTCCTTATCCGTTAGCTGCGCATAATTGGCCGGCCGGGAGCCCTTGGACAGCAGAAGCCGCCGTATGATATCGTCCAACAACGCCGCGTCTATCGGCATCCTCGATCTCTCCTCCTAAAACCCCCTTCCCGCTCCTAAAACCCACGCGAAACAAGCAAAAAGGCAAGGACCGAGAAGGAGAAGACTGATTCCAATGGATGCTTTGGAGGATCGACTTAGGGATCGAGGTGGGGGTTAGGGTTCGCGGGGGCGAAGTGGCTCTCTCTGTTCTTCTTTCCGCTTCCCCTCGTCTCTCGCCGTCTATCCGATCGATCACCCGCGCGCGGGGTATATATACAGTAAACACATCGTATCGGCTCGTTCCGTTATAATCTGTAACAAAGACCTCCAGCCGTTATAATTCCTTCTGACCGTATCACCTCTCCGGGGTGACGTGGTCCCGCGCCGACATATAACCAAGAACGGTTACGTAACGAACATCTGATTCGTGTTAAAAGTCGTGATCAAACCGCACAAATATGCTTTAGTCATTTTGATGAATAATTGTTTCACAAAATCATATATATATATATATTTATTTATTTATCCCTTCAAGATAAAAGAATCGAAATGAACCCCAAAATTAGGAACATATTCCATCATTGATAAAGAGAGGGAGAGGCATCCTCTTTAGTCTTTAACTGACGTGGAGGACGGATAAGAATAGAATCGAGTGTTCTCTCTTCCATGCCTGCCTTTCTTGTTGAAAAGGCTTCTTCTTAGGTCGCTCTTAGTCGTCATCGTCTTTAATGTCTCTGCGAGTGCGTTTGGAAACACATATCCTCCATTTTGCCTTGTTCTTATTCTCCTACTTTCTCTCGGCCTCGATCAAAGCTGGCACCAAAAGCAGCAACTTGAGAAGTACATTTGCGATCGAAATCGAGAGCATGATGGAACATGCAAGAAGAGAAGAACCGCAACTGCGTGATGTTATCGTGCATGGAATTTGATGCGTTGGCGTGAAGGCAGCATGGACGATCGACGTCGTTTGTTCTCGAGTCTTGGTCTCTGTCATGGAGGCGATTGCAGAATACCCTACTCGGATGTTGCTCATCTGGTGTTTTGATCCCTTTTTTCCCCCCAAATAATGGAATAAGAATTCATTTTCATAAAATAAAAGACGAAACATTTTCAAATACTCTTAGCTCGATGAGATCACTGAAATACTCAATTCATAGTAAATCTATCTTAAGAGAAATAATTATTGAATAGTACAAAGAACATGCATATTAACATTTAAGAGAGGTAAGTACAATTAACACTTGCTTTGGAAGTATATATATGGATTAAACGAGTCATTAACAGCTTGATCAAACTCCACAACGACAGGAATGAGCTGCACTTTCCACCTCAGTTTGCCAAACGCCATCTCAAGCTGGTCATAGTCCACGCATCCATTCCATCTTCATAAAATTTTAGTTCTGTTACAATTTACCAAGATCTAAAAACTTGAATGAGACTAAAAAATTCTGACACAGATGATAAATCTGCAATACTTTTAGATAAGTTGACATTAACAACCAATGCAAGCTAAATGATGAGTGTTTTTAATGCCAGGATATTGGAAAAAGTTACTAAGCAACAGGCGGCCTTAGCACATGATCCTGAGAAGTATCCAAAGCGGCTGGAGGTATCCATCGCCACATGCCCATTGGCATGTAGCTCGGGTGCGGGATGGTTTTGATGTGAGCTGCAACTGATGCTGAATGAGGAGTTGCGGCAGCTGGTTGAGTCATGAACTGGGGTGTAGTGCTAATGGCTTTGAGCATCTGTTCCGTCCGCTCCTTCTCAGCCTTCAGCCTCATTTTCTCATCCCTTAGCTCCAATTTCTCTGCCTGCAAGGCATGCCAACGAAGCAAGAAACATTGAAAGCTTGTTATCATGGTAATTGTAAACGGTCGATAGAAATATGTTCATCCTAGTTGTTTTTGAAGCTTTGGTTATTGAAAATATATTTTGGAAGCTAACTTGACTGTGTCAATATGATGAATGAGAACTGCCTATATTGTCCATGATTTGTTTGACCATTCAATATCTTGAGCCCATAGTTGTTGCAGTTTGATGGAGGTAGCATAGAGGTTGTAAAGCATGTCCCGGTTGATCTTGATCCGAATACTTGACTAGTGTAATTTAAAGTCATTTTGCAGTTTTTAGATACCATGTTATGGTGATGACTGTAGTTGAAAAAGCAACTGCGATCCTAAATTTTGCATATCTGAACTCGGTTCAACCGGCTAGACATAAAGCAACATAAATAGAGATGAATATGACAATAGTTCAGTTGTCACCTTCAGACTCTTTATGGCATCTTTGAATGCTTCATTCGAGTCTTTGAGCTTCTTTGCTTCAAGACGCAAATGGTTCATAAGACGAGTGGCATCACTCAAAATGGCAGATTTGTCTGTCTTGGGAGGCTTTCCAGGATCCATGACCGAGCACAACTCCGTGAACCTGATCATGTAACATCATGAATCAGAGGTGGAGGACAATAATATGCATAACATGATACTCACAAACAGGCTGCTTTTCCAGCATATGGCAACAGTTGCATGGTGGTCGAACATGCCTATCATTGAGTCTATCCCTTCGCAGTTTCTCACGGCAAGCTTTTGTGCCTGGTGCAGCACATGACTCCACACGGTTTCTGCAGAACAACAAAATGAGCAAGTATTCACATCAGATGTCCTAAAAAAGAAAGGAAGAAGTGTTGTTTGAAGAATGAAATTCTCTCAACTTGTTACATCAGAACAAAAGATTGACTTACCAACAACGATCTCGATATCAAAGTTGCAGAAAGTGAATTGATCAAACTTTATTCAGCTTAAGATATTATGTATATTCTTTCACATGCCTTACAACTCATCCAAGATCAAATACTGGGGTGAGACACTGAATAAAAGACATGAATATTGAGAAGATCATGCAAATATCATAATCATGACAATAAGTGCAAAAGTAAACTGGTGAGGCACTTTTCCTTTACCAGAAGGAACTGCACTTGTCTTCTATATGCTGTTGTTGTACAATATCTTGATCATGAGGAGAAATTATTTTAAGCATAAACAAACAATAGTTCTTCCTAATAGTAGTTTCCTGATGTGACTACCAATCATAAAGAAAATCCTACAATTTTCGGAAAATTTGTGATTCCTTATTCAACTTTACCCTAAATGCAGGTGAAAGATGCGTGTACTCCATAGAAAAGAAAGATACTTCATACCGTTTCTTCCGGGAACCATTGTTTGGGCAGTTGTCCTCCTTGCTCAACACATCAAACCCAAGCATTGCACTGCACATGACACAACAAGAATAAGAAACATCAAACATCAAGCTGATGACAATTTTGGGATACATAGATATGCTCTCAAGGAACATTAAGATGCAAGTAAATCATCTTATTCAATTAATTAATTAATCAGATCATGGAGGCCAATATCTAATAGACCAAATTGTTCACAGAACATGATATACATTGTACTGGAGAGATTGCCAATTTGTTGATAACAAGGTAACTCGACAAACAAGTTCAACGCATTTAATCTACAAACCGGACAAGGAAATTAAACTGCGGGACTAAGAAGAAGGAATCACCTCGAAGCTGAGGGGCCGTCGATGATCCGAGCGTCCCAGATGAAATCCGAGGCGAAAAGCCACCCCGCGCAGTCGTTGTTCGGATTGGAGCTCATCTTTCCTCCAAATTCCCACCAAAAAGATCAACCTTTAGGGATTCGACGCCAAGATCGAAGAGCAAATTGGGTAGATGAAGCAGAAGAATCCGCCTCAGGGGAGGGTTTGGTTTGCTTGCTGCTTTCTTCCTCGTCTTCTTTGCAGCGGACGATGTAAAGTATCTCTGAGGCCGGAGATACACATCCTGTTCCCCGTTAAAGAACGGATGATTAGGTTCGTTCGTGATCCCTGGGTGAGGGGGATGGAAGCTGTTCCGGCGGAACAGTTGAACAGGTGGATTAGATTAGTGGTTAATTGAAGGGCTTAAGCATCCCTTGGGTCTCTGGGGAGGCAACCGAGTAGCGATCGTGTCACCTTCTGGTGACGACGAGGAAACACCACCTGCTAATTAACATGAGATAATAGCACAAAATAATGGACATCGCGACTCATGTGGGCTATTATTAAGTAATGGGCATGTGCATGGCATGGCATGGCATCCGCCCACGTAGTCGGAGATGTCAAAGAGTGCAACGAGCTTAATATTAAATGGATGTTGCTTTAATTAATTGAATGGACGTCACGTTCTCCCCCCTTTAATGGGAAGATTATTTATTCTTCGGTGTGGCCACATCTCGTTCACTTAGACAAGGGTTTTTTGCATTCCTACCCTAAATCAACTCATTATATATATATATATATATATATATATATATATATATATATATATATATATATATATATATATATATTCTCAAGAATTACCTACTACCAAGAATACTCCAAGCCACATACCCATTTTTCCTTTGTTTTTCTAGGAACTGATCTAATTATAATGTTTTTAGTTAAAAACAACTATATTATAGTATTTTTTTAGTATATTATGTTTCTTTTGTGTTGCTAAAAATAGTGCAACATGATATAAAAATTCTATCATAATACTTTTATGCTATGATACAATATTTTCTTAGTATTATTGAAAACAATATAATATAATATAATATAAAAACATTATAATTAGACCAATTTACCCTAAGAACCGACCCATAGAGAAAGGAAAGAAAAAAGAATATGTGATTGGCTTATCAAATCAAGACTATTTCAGATATTAAAAAAATATATATTGTTAGTAAATTTTGAAAATAAATGACACTTTCTTGAAACAAATAAAAAATGGTTTTTCATCTATTGGCATAACATTCCATCAATCATGAGTGTGCCCAACTTGGAGCTTCCTGGAGAGGATGAACTATCAAGTGGCAATAGCATAATATGATGGAGAAATGAGAACAGAAGACTTACAGATGTTGACAAAGACGGGAAGAAAAGCTTTGGATTCTTTTTGAACCTAACGATAGAATCGACGTTGACCTCAACCAAAAAAGACGTTCACACAAATCTTGAGTTCCAAAGTCCACAAGCTAACAGTGATTTCTGCCACAATAGTTAAGACTGCATATAGTGACTTCTGATGCATGCTTGAGCCAACAGGTTTAAATGTTTGTTCCAAAAGCAAAGAAAAAGAACATGAAAGAGAGAAGAGAAGTACCAATTGCAGCCATCAATAATCTGAGGCCTACATAGAAGTTCTTGGATGGGTTGCGATCTAGTAGGACATTTTTCACTTTGAAGCATAAAGATAAAAAGGAATAGAATCATGAGATGCTTTCCATCAATACAGTGAGGAGAACACCAGCAATTTGGATGTGTACACACCAAGGTCCACATGGACCAACCTGGAAGCACAAAAAAGCAATATGAATCAGTCAGTTCCATCTTCTACATCCACTGAGAAACTTAAAAAGAGTTTAATTGGAAAAAACAACACATGCAAATCATACCATCAAACTGAGTTTCTGAACATGTTTTAACTAAAGAACACTGTGAAGCCATGTAACGAGGAATATAGGAAATAGGTTTGCCAAGCTTCATGATTAGAAATTGACACCATGGGTGATATAAGAAGACCACTTATCTATTACAATTTCTCTGTGTTCAGTGATTGTCCTGATCTTGCTTCAAAAACAAACCAACAGTCCAAAAAAGCCACAACAGCAAGAAAAAGTAGGATATGTTTAATCAGACATTCTGCCACCTTCCATGTCTCCCCATTATCCATAACCAGTGAGGTGTGCATGCTTAGAAAGTTCTCCACTCGAAGTGTTGTCGGTAAGGAAAGAATAAGACTGGTTGTGCAATCCAGTTATGAGGCACCTTGTTCCTCTAAGAATTATATACATGAGCATGTTTTAAATGGAACAAATAGAAGCTACCACTTTCCAACTTACACTTTGAGTTAATTGGTGGGTTGATTCTCTTTTTTGTGGCCACTCTGCAGAATTTGAAGACTCAGAACTGCATACTTCAAACACATTACCACCAACCAGATCCCAGTCAAGATCATAAATGCTATTTCCCCACACAATTTAATTCTCTCGAACTAACCATTGGAGATGCTGACAATTTTAGCACTTGCAATAAGATGATGCTCAGTGTCAGACAGAAGCACCACAGGTAAGGGAGATAGACGCAGGAGTGCAAGGAGCCCATCAACCGGCACAAACATGAGAGAGCAGCTCTCAAATCCACCAAAAGCCCTGAGAGACTCCAATCCTTCCTTTAGTCCGATGCAAAAGACATGGTGGTATCTCCTTCTTGCCTTCTTCCAACTCTTCTCCCTAAAAACCTCAGCATTTAGTGTTGGCATTGGTGGTGGTGTTGGAGTCTGGATCAATGGAAGAGGCACCACTACCACCACAGCCAGCACACAAGCACCACCAACCAGTCCCTCAAATCCCACCAGCAGCGTGGAGTACACAGCTCTTCAAGCTTGGAAGTCAGCCATCACAGAGGATCCATCAGGAATCCTAGCCTCCTGGGTTGGTCCGAATGTATGCTCATACAGAGGTGTCTTCTGCTCCGAACCACCTGAGGGCACCTCCTCCTCCTCCTCTGTGGTCGCAGGCATAGATCTCAACCATGCCAGCCTCAAAGGCTCATTGGTGAAGGAGCTCTCTTTCCTCGCATATCTCTCCATCATTCACCTAAACAGCAACCGGTTCTCAGGTACAATTCCAGACTCCTTCAGAGAGCTACAATACCTCACGGAGCTGGACCTTAGTAACAACCAGTTCTCAGGACCCTTCCCCACCTCCACACTCCGCATCCCAAACCTCATCTACCTTGACCTCAGGTTCAACAGCTTCTCAGGTGAAGTCCCAGATGAGCTCTTTGTGGGAGGTTTGGACGGCATATTCCTCAACAACAACCAGTTCGAAGGCCAGATCCCCATGATCCTCTGGAACTCCCCAGCTTCTGTGATCACCCTGGCCAACAACAAGTTCTCTGGATCCATCCCGGCCAGCTTTGGCCACGTGGGACCTGGCATCAGGGAGGTGCTGTTCCTGAACAACGAGCTAACAGGTTGCATTCCGGAAGGGATCGGCTTTCTAAGTGATGTAGAAGTCTTGGATTTGAGCTTCAATTCGTTCACAGGCCATCTCCCAAGCTCCTTGTCATGCCTTTCTGACATTGAGGTCCTTAACATAGCCCACAACCAGTTCTCAGGGGAGCTCCCAGACCTCGTTTGTGACCTCAAGAGTCTCCTAAACCTCACCGTTTCTTACAATTTCTTTTCTGGGTTCAGCCAGGACTGTGACAAGCTGTTCTTCAGAAATGTGGGATTTGATTTCTCCGGGAACTGCATACCTGGGAGGGACATGCAGAGGCCTCCACCTGAGTGCATGGGGATTCCTGGAGGTGGACTTAGCTGCCTCAGGATACCAGCAGCAAAGGCTGTAGCTTGCTCTAGGGCCATGGTTCAGGGAAGTCGGATGCCGGCTATGCCATACACCTTCCCCACTTCATTTCCTTCTCTACCATGATCTCTACCAGTGTGGTGCATGGTGAGTTGACAGGCGAACAGTATGTAATGTTCTCTTAAATCATCTCAAAAAGCAAGCACAAATTATTGCAAACTTTCTAAGTTAGTTGGCTCTAGTATTGTTTTGAGTTGTGAAGATGAGCCATTGCATGCCATGGTTAAGCCACCATGGTTTAATCCTGTAGCACTAAGAGAGAACTATATGTAACATTAATTGTATACAGTGATCCTAGCTAAGAGAGCTCTATGGTTATTGAGGATTACTGATGGCTGGCCCTTGGCTTGATTGCTTTGTATCAAAGAATTGTCCGTATGCACTAAAGTTTCTGAGTCAACTTTGGCCCTCCATTATAATCAAAATCAGAATACTAAAAATCCACTCCAAGAACTAAACTATGGCTGTGTATATACCTATAGCATGGGTGTGTTGATCTGTTGTCTGTAAAAGTCTCCAAATCTGAAAGTTGAACAAAAATCAAAGTCAAACTGGATTAGCCGGAGAACTAAGTCCCCAATTTGCTTTTTTTTTGTTGACTCTGGGAAGCGAGTATAAAGCTTCCTAATAGTTGAGAGTAAATTCATTGTCCGGCCAAAATCTTAGTGCTACTAAGCACGACCTCATAAGGTGGAATTCTTGTTTGCATTTACAAAGCTTACTAATATTTAGAGTAAGGTAGTTTTATTCTGCGGATTGCAATGGTTGTTTGATCCATTCGAGCCCCCTATAAAGTCTTTTAGCATTGTCACAACGACGATAAGATGCTACCGGAAACCCTGGCTTCAAGAAGAAGACAAACGAAGCAATGGTACCTCAAATGAGCATCGGCGACCCAGGCGTCCTTCCGGCCAGCGAATGTAGCTCGCGTACTCCTTCGCGAATCCACGGCAGCGGGGCGGCGGCCGTCCTCCAGAACCCGGCGCCGTTGGTCTCCGCTGGAAGAAGAGGAGGAGAAAGGGGGGTTTCGGAATCGGATTCGAAGCTCTGTTGGAAGATTCACAGGGGTGCGGCATCACCGTAATTATTGGTAATAGGTGCGGGTGATTGATCGAGATGCAATCAGGGACGGCCACGATATCAAGCATAAGTGGGCCCCACCCACACAGAACCAAACTGATCGAGTACCGGACGGGTAGATCACGTTATTCATTGTAGGATTGATTCGACCCGATCTCTCAGAAAGCAGATGATATGTCAAATGACAAGAAAACATTCATCAAAATGCACCATCATTCTTATACCATTAAAAGAAAAGATGTGAAAGCAGAAAGAGCAATGTTACAATAAGTTACTGAGCCAATTAACAATGTTTGTGGCTGGGAATTAAAACAATGGAACATTTGGACAACAATGCCTGGGTATGTATATGTTGTTTTTCCTGCATGACAATGACAGAGAAAGTGTAAAGCTATTAATCAAAGCCGAGCATATATTGTTCAAATCAATGAGATGTCAAGCACAACAGGCAACATGAAGTTGCACAAATACTAATGTTGCCAAAAAGTTTTTGACAGTTTTTTCCCTACTAATGATGCTGCAAAGTTCATTATGCACAAAGCGAAGGAATGCAAAATGGTGGAGACAAAAAGCACATATCTGATTCATGTTGGTAGATATCTATTCAAATCCTGTATTAAATGTAGTGCCTGCAGAATATAGTAGTGAAGTTCCAACGTGTGCATTCTTTGACACCAATGACTTGAAAGGTGCATGTTCTTTGACAACACAATGTTCCAAACTTTTGGAGAGAATGCAAAAGGATGATCCTAAGTATTAACATGATACAAATAAGGCATTATTAGTTTATAGATGAGTAGTAATTCAATTTTGAAAAGCAACTTCCAAAGCTTTGGAAAAAAAAAAGTCCAAATATCAATTTGGTAGTGAATAGTACCTTAGGAGAACATTCTTTAAATTCTGCTACTCTCCGCAGATACTTTTCTCTCTCCAAATTGCTTGAACTTCATCAGTGCGGAACCTCTGAGTAAATGTTGATTCCTCCAATGGTGTGGTCATGCCATGTGCAAACGCAAGGAGACCAGTGTATGCTATCATTGCTCCATTGTCGACACAGTATCTATCGTCAGTTGCAAACAGTCTGCCTCCCCTCTCTGAGCACATTATCCTCATCATCTCTTGCAAGCGTTCATTGCATCCTACACCACCAACAATTAGGACATCCTTCGTATCACAATGTGCCATTGCACGTTCAGTGATCTCCACAAGCATAGCAAAGAGCGTTTCCTGGGAGCAATCAGTCATTTGTAATGCTTAGCTTCAAAATAAACTAAGTTGAAATTATTTACTGTTCCAAATATTCTGCCATGATTACTTCTTTTTATAACCACAAATTCATGACCATAATTTTTGTTTACAGGAGGCAATAAATGGATATAGATTTATAAGATGAAATATACCTGCAAGGAGTAACAGAGATCTGCTGGTGTGCATTCATTGTTTTTAAGCTTCTCAACTGCAGTCGCTTCAATATAGCTTAATATGCCACTAAATGAAACATCCATACCCTTGACAACATAGGGAAGATCTATGAACTTCTCTCCTTTCTTTGCAAGCTGAATTCAAGAATCACGAGAATCAAATGAGTTAAAGAACACGTGTTTCCGATAAAGAAGTTAAACATCAGAAATAATACGACAAAATAAGTATTAGGCACCATGGTATCGAAGTACACCATACTACATGATCCATATCTTAGTAAGGTGGAATTTCATCTCATAATAATGCCAAAAACATGGTTTGGAATGGAAAATTGGAACTCGTTTCAGATGCCGTTCATACTGCTAACCTAGATGGTATTTCCTGAATAAAAACATGTCAAGTAGGGAAGAGAATGTGAATCATCAGGTCTAGAAAGAAAATATACAAAGATGTTGATAAGTTACTACATATGCAGGTAGCCCACACATTATAGCAACCTCAAGGTACAGTGAAACCACTGTATCGCCAAACACTATTGGACCCAACATTTTAAAACCACCAAGTCAACAAGTCTGATCCACAAGCTGTATGTTCTATTTTTCAAGCACCAGAGGAACCAGATGGTTTTAACCTTCGGAACCATCTAGTTCAACAGTTGCTTTCTCATATAAATCAAAAGAAATGAGAGATTAGATGATGATCAATCAGTCTTCTTCCCACATGGCTCATGTAATGATATCTTGCATTTACTAGGCCCATAAACTGCACTGGATTACCATATGTTGGCCTCGGCCAACGAGACTAGGGTGCAAAATCACAAACCAGAAATGACTTGGACAATAAAGTTGGTATCTCCACCAGTTTTTGAAATGATATATAATCACTCTATATCACATTTCCATTGCCAACAAAACTTACAAGAAATTTAAGTTAAAGAACAAAATCTTATCTTTTAAGAAAATGGGGAACATCTGTGACAACAAATTCATAATCTCAATTTTTTTCTAACTAATTTGCCAATTTTTATTGTTTTACAGAGGATATTATAACAGTTTTAAGGTTGTTAAATTAGATATTCATCCTACTACTGCTCATCCTTTCACTCCATGATGTGTCACAAAGTGTATCCAACTTTGACAAAGCTTGTGCAAACTCTATCCTGGACATGATATATAAACAATTTGCATCTACATGTCATGTACATGGTTGCCAGAGATAAATAGGTTAGCATCCAGTTCATCTAAAAATCATGGCATATACACTGTATGACAGTTTGGGCAAAAAGGCTCAAAAAGGGATGGTTCTCTGCATGCTTAGTCGAATTGGCTGTATTATTAGTTATCAGAAAGATATTCAATCTTCTAAATTTATCTTATGTAACTACTATCGAACCTCTACTTTTCACACAGAGTCAGTATTTCAAAACTAAATATACAGCGAACAAAAAGGAAAATATGTTATGCAAAAGTAGAACTCAAACTTATCTAATCAGAAACATCTAATCCATAATTACCTAAAGCAAGTAAAAAAGAACCGGTTGTATTATAAGAAATGAGAAAATACTTCAGAAAATTGAGTATCTTTTAAAGATTCTAATTATAGAAAAAAGGTCTTTTTTAGAAGAAAACCAAGTGAAAAAAATTGAACCTGCTCGATGTTATATCCGGGACTGGGATCATTGGACAGGGTAAGAACCCTAGCAAAACGATCCAGGCAATTACCAACAGCGATGTCAATAGTCTCCCCGAAAATTCGGTACCTTCCCTCGCTGTACGCTATGACTTGAGTGTTCCCTCCACTGACGTAAAGCACGACAGGGTCCTCGGCCCCGGTGACGATCCGGCCCATCTCGATGTGGGCAACGCAGTGGTTGACGGCGACGATGGGCTTCCCCCAGAGCTGGGAGAGGGCGCGGACGGCCACCGCGGAGACCTGAAGGGGGGCGCCCATGCCGGGCCCCTTGGTGTAGCAGAGGCAGTCGACGTCGGCGGGGGTGATGCCGGCGTCGTCGAGGGCGGAGCGGAGGAGGGGGAGGACGTGGCGGAGGTGGTGGTGGGCGGTCTCCCGGGGAAGAAACCCGTGGCCAGGCGGCGTGATGTAGGTGTGGCGAGGGTTGGAGAGGATGGTGCCGTCGAGGGCGACGACCCCCACGCCGATCTTGTTCGCCGACCCCTCAAACCCCACGGCGATCAGCGTCTTATTCTTCGCCATTAATTGCTCTTTTTCTCTCCTTTCCCTCACTGAGGCCGACAGAATCGGAGGCTGAGCTGAGGGTTTTAGGGCACAGTGTATTAGACCAAACCCGTTATATATAGTCCCATCATAACATCGAAATCGATCTAAGACCGTTATAATAACGTCATAACAAAACATCTGGACCGTTGATCTATAATCGACCTCACTCGTGGGACATATAACGTCGCCCAACTACAGAGGTGATACAAACCGATGAAGCGTCTTCCCTTGCTCACCCCGGCCCGCGCCTTCGCCACGACGTACAACGGCCGGGTCGTCCGAGTCGACTCGTCCGGACGCGCCCTCGCCGTCGAGGTCGACCCACCGGACCTCCCCCGCGACGCTCGAGGCCACGCCCTCCCGCGCCGCGACCTCATCTGCCGCGCCGCCCGCATCCTCCGCTCCACTTCTCCCGCCGCCGCCCCCCTCCTCGACCTTGCCGACTACCTCCAAACCCTAACCCTCACCCTCACCCCCGCCGAGGTCAGCGAGATTCTCAAGTGCATCCGGAACCCCGATCGCGCCCTCGAGTTCTTCCGCTTCGCCGCCTCACTCCCCGGGTTCCACCATGATTGCTTCACCTACAACCGGATCCTCTCCATCCTCGCCAGGTCGGGCGCTGTTGATGGAGACACTGTCCGCTGGATCGTGGACGAGATGGAGCGTGATGGAGTGAACGGAAGCATATCCACCATCAACATCTTGATCGGGATACTCGGGGGTGGAGAGCTGGACCGGTGCTTGGAACTCGTTAAGAAGTGGGGATTGAAGTTTAACGGGTACACCTACAAGTGCTTGATGCAGGCGTACTTGAGATACCGGGTTGTGGACCGGGCGTTTAGGGTTTTTGAGGAGATGAAGAGGAAAGGATATAAATTGGATATCTTTGCCTATAATATGCTAGTGGATGCGCTAGCCAAAGCTGAAAAGGTGCGACTACTATATTCTTAATGTTCGGCATCACATTGTTGGTTCTTATTCTTCTTTCTTAAATTGTAGCTTAGTTTTCAAAAAGTTAGAAGTATTGTAAGGTTAAACTAATTAATTTCTGATTGTTTTGATGGGTAATATAGCATACAGGCAATAATGGTAATCACAAGATAACTCTAATGACATATACCGTTTACATCTAGTATGTGTTGTTGGCTAGTGATTTATATTGGTTGTCAGAGTATAGTTGGGATTGATTCTAAACCTCAAAAAAGGAACATGAGGATGTAGATGCTAAAAGATACATTCATTTTCATAAATGTACCATTTTTATTATAGTGCTTTAAGGTTGATTGTGTATTTGACTGCTTTTCTGTCTTTTCCTTTTCCACAAATTTCTTTAAAAAACTTGTTAATTATTTTTTTGTTTATGAGAACCTTCACTGTTATATGTGTTTGTCTATCCATCTCAACAATTGGCTTCTTTTTATTCAGAGAGATCTTTCGGTTGCCTCCTTTCGCTTCTGTTTTGTCTGATTTGAGTCACTTTAACAGGTTGAACAGGCTTACAAGGTTTTTGCAGATATGAAACGTAGGCACTGTGAACCAGATTCATATACTTACACAATTTTAATCAGAATGTCTGGAAAGATAGGGAAAACAGATGAATTCCTCTCGTTTTTTGAAGAGATGATAAGAAAAGGATGTGCTCTTAACTTAATTTCTTATAATACTATGATTCAAGCACTTGCTAAGAATCGAATGGTGGATAAAGCTATCTTTATTTTTTCCAAAATGGTTGAGAATGATTGCCAACCCAATGAATTCACATATAGTGTCTTGATAGATGGTTTAGCAGCAGAAGGACAACTTGATAGGCTGGATCAGGTTGTGGAAGTCTCTAATAAGTACATGAATAAGTCAATTTATGCTTACTTGGTGAAGACACTGAGTAAGTTAGGCCATGTAAGTGAGGCCCATCGCATGTTTTGTAGCATGTGGAGTTTCCATGACAAAGGGGACAGGGATGCTTATTTGTCCATGCTTGAAACTCTTTGTAGTGCAGGGAAGACATCAGAAGCTATGGAATTACTGAATAAAATACATGAAAAAGGGATAACCACTGATACTGTCATGTATAACATGGTTTTTTCAGCTCTTGGTAAGCTTAAGCAAGTACCCTATATTTACACCCTTTATGAGCAGATGAAGGCAGAAGGCCATTTTCCTGACATATTTACTTATAATATTCTCATCTCAAGCTTCGGCAAAGTTGGTCTGATTGATAAGGCTTTTGAAATTTTTGAAGAAATGGAGAGTACTGATTGTAAACCTGATGTAGTCACCTACAATTCTTTAATAAATTGTCTTGGGAAAAATGGAGACCTAGATGAAGCTCACATGCGTTTCATGGAGATGCAGGAGAAAGGATTGAACCCTGATGTTGTTACTTATAGTACTCTCATTGAATGTTTTGGGAAATCCAATAAAGTTGAGATGGCTTGTAGGTTGTTTGATGAGATGCTTGCTCAAGGATGCTTCCCTAACATTGTAACATACAACATTTTGCTTGATTGTCTGGAGAGGTGTGGGAACACAGCTGAAGCATTTAAGCTGTATGCTACTATGAAGCAACGTGGGCTGACGCCAGATTCAATAACTTATACAATACTTGCACGATTAGAGAGTGGATCCCAAAAAGCAGTAAGAGTTCGCAAACAGAGTCGTATTACAGGATGGGTTGTTAGCCCATTAAGGTAATGAAGGCAGGTGACAAGTAAGCAATATGTTATGGATTGTTTGCACCAAATTAGGCATTTGTTTGCTAGTCAAACAATTTGTTATATTAATGTTTCAAGTACCAGTATCAAGATGGATACACCTGGCAACAGTTTTGGGTTTCATTATGTTGGATAGGTCGCACAGTCGTGTGTGGGATTTCGATTTTGATATAGTGCTGGTGGAGGATCACACCTAAAAGATGTTTGATAGTCATGTCGGCCTTCTTTTGTCATGCTGAGTACTAGTCAAAGAAAACCCTTGAGTTACGGCTTGTTTCACAAAAGAAATGGTTCTTGTCATTGTTTTTGTACAATGACAAATCTAGGGAGTAAAGCATGGAAGATTGACATTCAAGGACTCTGCATGCTCGGTACCTCTAGGTAAAATTTATGTTTATCATATTTGAAATTTATAAAAAGTTCAATCATGATTATGCTTTTTGCAAAATATAATATTCTTGTAACGATTGACATCTTAAGCTTGTTCCGGTCTCTATAGTTATTATTTAGGTTTATATGTGAAATTTTCAACCAATCAGATAGGCTGTCCAATCCATTATTTATGAAATCATGGTTTTTAAATTAACAACTACATAATCTGGACTTATATATGTAATTAGTTGTACAGCTTAGTTAACTGATAACTCTGTCCTTATCTGTAAAATGCTCTAATCGTAGTTTGGTTGTTTGGTTGCTTTTCAGTTAAACTATAAAGGGTCTTTCTTCTTTCCATAATGATCGATTTGGGGCCATTCATGGTTGAGTTTTTTTTTTCAAACATATGGATAAAGGTGACCCTGTTTAGCATTTCATATTTGATTGTTAGATGCCCAATTTACATTGATACTGAGATAACCAGTATATTATTTAACCATTTCTATCGGTTCCTTCCGGCTATCAAATTCTCGAGATAACACAAGAAGTCATAAGGTCCCAACTATTTGAGCTTGGCTGCATGGAATTTTTCCCACCATTGACTTTTGTTGAAGACATTGCCACTAATCAAAAAAAGATTATATGAATGCATAGAATTTCTGATATATGAACACCATAAGCTTTTTGTATATGTAGACAACTTCAAAGATCAAAATTAAATTGCATGCTCTGGTTGGAAGTTAAGACTGCACCGACCTATTTTGTTCCAGCACATCCATCTAATTCATAAAGAAAATGGGTACTTCAGCAGGAACTATGGCTATCAATTTCCAAGTCTTTTTACCTCTCAATTCTTGTTACTACTGGCTGGATCAGTTGAGAATATAATAATCTGCTGGTCTTGCAGCATGCATATGAACAGGAAAAACACAAGGTCATTCACACAGTGACTATCAGTATTTATGGATGTTCTTCTCTGCAAGCTAAGTAAAAGCTACAGAAACATGGTTTAACAGATCCTTGTTTGAGGCAGACTTTCAACCAAATTGGCCATGTAATATCTTAAATGGACGAGGGAGCTTCCGAGGTAACAATGCTGAGAGGCATGCTCCAATTCGTTTTTGACCTGCATATCTGTAAGTTCAATGGAAACATCATCTCATTATTCCATTGCCCTGGCTGGATGTTTGCCCTTTCAGGTTTGATTATCCTGTTTTGTAATTAGCCTATTTGGTTCTTCCTATTCGAACATTAATAATTTGTAAATAAATCGTGATTCCTGTTCTGAGCTTTTATTGTCAAACACCAGGGATGATCTTGAATTATAAAACTTCGTGGTGCAGCTTTATCTTAGTTTGTGCTAATGTACTTTCTCACCCAGTGCAGTACCATCTTCCTGAGCAATCTAAATCTCTTTCTTTTCTTTCCTTCTCTTCTCTGCTCTCTCTCTCTCTCTCTCTCTCTCTCTCCAAAGAGAACATATATTTTGAAGAGAAGAAGACTTTGACATGATTTCTTAACCCAGGAGTTGCTATCATGAACTTATAAGGAATTTTTAGGATCTGATAATTTTCTTTCCTTTGCTATCGTAATTAGATTCGTTAATTTCTGTGCCTTAACTGTTGCTTTCACGATATAATTATTTAGGATTTCCAGAGGCAGGAATCTGATTATTTCCTTTCCTATACTCTTGTATGATTCATTGAATCCTGTATTCTATCTTTAGTTTTGTACATCAATAAGATTCTAACAGGAATATTAAAGTATATATATATATATATATATATATATATATATATATATATATATATATATATCTTGAGATATTAGAAATACTAAAACAAAAAACATATATTTCAAAAATTAGCATCCAATAACAATATCTTTTTTAAAAAAAATCAAATTTAAAATAAATCCAGACACATCTTTTCACGTCCCATCCAATATATATAATATTGGATATCAGAAAAAAAAAAATCATAGTTGAAGTTTTTAGATAAAATTTAGAACATTTTGCTACATTGACACTTCTATATCTTATCTTTTTAGGATGAACAATGAAACTATCATAGAAGATGCACTAACACAACCTGAGAGTGGCATTTCACGTAATTAAATGAAAACGGCAAGGTTAGTTTCGACAGCCAAGAACGACTCACTCCATGGTGGTAGTTATTGCCGTTCTCATTTCCCCCTTCTCGTCGCCAACAGCACGACGAACCCAAAGAGATCAAGAAACGAAGGGGAGAGGGAGAAAGCAAGCAAGAAAGGTAATCGATCTCCTCTTCCTCCTCCTCCTCCTATATATACCGTGCCTCCGTAAACCCTTCGCCGAGTTCGAGCCTTTCTCCTGTCCTCGATCGCTTTCCCGGTTCTTCTTCCTCCTCGTTTGATCGCATTTCCTGTTTTTCTGTTATTTCGATGGGATCGTTGCCTGATGCTCCCATAGCGAAGAAGATCTCGGTGGAATCGAGCGGCGGCGGCCTCCCGGACTCGGCCTCTCATTGCTTCCTTCTGCTCGTTTTCGTCGGTCAAGGTCCTTCCCAGGGAACAGGGGCGGGGACGGTGACGGATGTGTTCGGAGGGGAAGACAACGCCCAAGATCGTCCGTGGGGAAGGGGGCTACGTTCTCGAGGACGTCCCCCACCTCATCGACTACTTGCCCGATCTGCCCGTGAGTTCCCTCTCGCGTGGTTTTCTTGATCCTTTCTTCTTTCTTTTGGGGTTTGGGGTGGGAGCGAATCTGGTGAAACGGAGGGTCCTTTCTTGATCTGTTGGATTCTAACGCTTTGTTTCTTGGCGGGTTCTTGAATGGTTCGATTGGTGTTTGAAGTGGAAGATGTCAATTGGAAATTGCTTTTAGGTCTTCTTTTTTCAGTATTTGATGTGCGTTTGAGATGAGGAACATTCTTTTTTTTCAAGAAATCATGAATGTTTTCGTTCTTTTATTGGCTTCAGAAATAATATCTATTTGTTTCTGGCAGACCTATCCAAATCCGCTGCAAGATAATCCAAGCCTACTCGGTTGTCAAGTAATCTTTACCCCTTCCTCAGTCTCTCTGTTCTGGACATTCTTGATTCACCAAACTCATCTTTTTGGTAATTGCAGCCAGTATTTTGTGGATGTGAATGATAACGTGGCACAGAAGGTGAGTATTTTGCTTCCAGAAATTGAAATTGCACATGTGAGTCTGTGACACTAAAACTCTGTTGCTAAAAGATCATTTGGTTCTTGGAATTTATTTGCTTAAAGTTCCTTTTTCTTTTGCTTGGTACAGATTGTTGTTCATAAGAGTAGCCCAAGAGGGATGCTTTTCCGACGTGCAGGGCCACACCAAAGAGTAGTTCCTCTGCACCATCTTCTGTTGTAGCAACTGTCAAATTAGAGAGATCATCCTAATTGATCCCTTGGGTGTTCTTGAATATTTTTGTCCGGTGTGCTTCGAGTCGGATGAGGTGCATGCTTGCATTGTAACATGTGGAGGCTTGTGCCCTGGGCTTAACACAGCGATCGGAGAAATAGTTTGCGGCTTATATGGCATGTATGTTGTTCGCAAAGTCCTTGGTATAGAGGTCAGTTCTGCAATGTGAATTATGACATGTATGGTGTTCACAAAGTCCTTGGTGTAGAGGTCAGTTTTGCAATGTGAATTCTGCTCCCTCAATAGCTTATATAACTCATGGATCTCTTTTCCTTTTAATAAGGCATAAATCATCTATTGACCCTTTTTCTTTTAAAGGAATTTGATCTTGACACCTTGCTATTAATAGTCAAGTTCTTTACCTATTAAACTAGCTTATATCTTCATCATGAACTTGAAACCTTACACTGTTTTAAGTTAATAATTCTTGAAATTTGACTGCACATTGGTATGACTGGATTTTGGATGAGTTTCCTAGGTGACTGGAATAAAGTGGTTCATCGGTTGATGATACTTTAGGCTAAATATCACTTTCTATTTGTTTCATGCATTCTCTCATTACTCATAACTCATTGCATAGGTATCATTTAATTGATGTTTCGGTCATTCTGTTTAGGTGGCTATAGAGGCTTCTATTCCTCTAACACCACTAATTTGACACAAAAGAGTGTCAATGACATTCACAAAAGGGGAGGTACGATCCTTTGTACATCAAGAGGTGGTCATGACACTTTGAAGATAGTCGACAGTATTGAGGACCGTGGTATCAATCAGGTCAGCAAGATATGAAATACCTCATAAGCCATGTTCAGAAGTCTTGCTTCTTTTGCAATATTAACAAAGAACTATTCATCTTATTTATTTTGCTAGGTCTACATAATTGGAGGTGATGGAACTCAAAAGGGGGCATCGGTCATATTTGAGGTAATTATGTGGATAGATTAGTTATAGATCTAGAAATTTCGTATACGACGATCCAAAAATAGGGAACCCTTGTTTGTGGTTTAGAATTTCGGTGCAATATAAATTACTGATACACATTATCCAGTTTTAGTTGGAAAAAAAAAAGAATTAATTACTTGTTGTCACTAGATCATGTGTCGGTTCTTGGTTTATACTAGTAAATATGGATCGTCACGTATCGCTATCAACCGGTTTTTAAAACCTTGCCCTTGTTTTTTGAGCTAATATAAGTAATTAGATTCTATTTTTATAGGAAATACAAAGGCGTGGCCTCAAAGTTGCAGTTGCCGGTATCCCTAAGATGATTGATAATGACATTGTGGTGCTTTCTGATTCCTTGAATCCTTCACATCTCATTTTATGTCTTTCCTTTTGTTGTTGGTTGTTAATATTTATTACTACTCCTGGACCATTGTTTTCACCAACCACTTATTGGATCAGGTAATTGATCAGTCCTCTGGTTTTGACACTGCTGTGGAAGAGGCACAACGGGCAATAAATGCTGCACATGTGGAAGCTGAAAGCATTGAGAATGGTATAGGTGTCGTGAAGCTTATGGGTCGCTACAGCGGTTAGTTGTAGTTCTTAACTATCCTTGCGTGACTTCTGCATGCAATCATAGATCATATTTAAACTAATATATGACTACTACTAAAAGAAAAAATGTTGATCTCAGGCATCTAAAAGGGTTCCACCATTTGGCCATTATGAATAATGTATCTTTTAATGACATGATCAAACCAATCTGTTGGTCTTTAATCTGAAGGCATTATCAACAGTAGGTACTCCGATCACATACTTTTGCCTCAAAATGTTAATGTGATGCATGTTAGAGACCAAACTGATACATGAATGAGTTCCAGAAGTAATAAAACTTATCTGATTGTGATCCAAATATACACTTTAGTATTCAGTGTGCAGTTATCTTTAGGTCGTGTAACCTCCTGGTTTACCATTATGTCTTTAGCTCTCTTGACAGTATGTGTTGCATGTTTGAATAAAATATATGCTACCATAGCATGATTGCAGCTTTTATAGATACTAATCATCAAAATATCCACTTTGATGCGAAATCTGTAATTTCTTTAGCATGGTAATATCTTAGCTTGTAAACATCTAGGATGAGCACAAAATTGGCTTATGTGAAATCAGTTGGAAGATTTCACTTTTTTCAGAACAACCATATCCAACATCTCACAATTCTTAATACCAACAAAATCTGCATCAAACTTCCAATTGCAACAATGCATTTAGTCTTTACTGTAGGAAGTGTCTATCTTTTGGTGAGTTGATGGTGTCTCTATACTATTGACTTGATCACTACTCTGGAACATTATATGATTACGACGAGATCATGGGAATAATGATCACCTGCATTTCACTACATCGTTGTTTACTTTACTGACGATCATCCAAACAATTTAATAATGCAGGGTTCATTGCAATGTATGCCACTCTTGCAAGCAGAGATGTGGTATGTTTAATGCGTGTTATTTGTGTTGTTACAGATCCTCTGATCATTCCAATCTTATGCTTAAACTATGCAGAATTTGGGTTTCCTCGGGATTGGCATTTCATTCCTCCAAAAAACAAAAAAAGGTGCGTTAAT